TTTAATTCCTGTACAACTTCATGTGAATTTATTAGTAAATCCCTGCAAAGACACTATATAGGATGGTTTTCAGTTGCTCTTGGATATCTGGCTTGGATTTTTCTGTCTTAATTATTCTGCATCACCATGATTGTTCAGGTGCTGATCACTACTAAAAATCTAGTGACCTTTTGCTAGCTGATTGTTCTGGCAGTAAAAACATGAACTGCTCAGCTATACAACAGTCACGTACTGTACACAGCCAATAAAACTTGATGAGCTACAGACTGAGCAATATTCCCTAGACTTACTATTATAGGGCAGAGACCAACTTATCATTAACACTTGTGCTGGTTTTGGCTGGGGCAGAGCTTTCTTCACAGTGGCTAGTATGTGGCTAGGTTTTGGATTTGTGCAGAACACATGGCTGATTATGTAGAGATGTTTTTGTTATTGCTGAGCAGAGCTCACACAGAGTCAAAGCCTTTACTGCATTCCTCACTGCCACACTGGGAAGGGAGTTGGGGCTGCATGGGAGATTGGGAGGAGACACAGCTGGGACAGGTGACCCAAACTGACCAAAGGGATATTCCATACCATAGGACATCATGCTCAGTATATAAAGTGGGGGAAAGAAGGAGGAATGGGGGATGTTTGGATGGTGTTTGTCTTCCCAAGTAAGTGTTACATAGCCCTGCTCTCCTGGAGATGCTGAACACCTCCTGCCCGTGTGAAGCAGTGAATGAATTTCTTGTTTTGCTTTGCTTATGCATGTGGCTTTTGCTTTCCTTATTCAACTGTCTTTGTCTTGACCCATGAGTTTCTAGCCATTACCCTTCTGTTTCTTGCCCTCATCCCACTGATGGGGGAGTGAGTGAGTGGCTGTGTTGTACCTGGCTACTGGCTGGAGTTAAACCACCACAATATGGTAAATGAGAAAGTTGTATATGAAACCATTAAAGCAAGCTAAGACTTTTATGCACATTTTATTAATACTTTTAAGTTTCTGCCTCTTTTGATGTAGCAGTGAAATTCCAGTCATTTTCTACAGGATCTGCTACTGCTTGTATCTGAGAACTGATGTTTCTACCTATCACGGGTCTATAAACTCTGCTGAAAATAAGATGAATCCCAACACCTCTGTTTTTCAAGCTGTTGAAGAGAGATAGGCATTGGCTTAGCTGCTTGTCCACATATCAATGGCAAGATTTATGACTCTTCCATCTGCTTATCTGCAAGCATGCAGTGCATTCCTCAATTTGATTATTAATAAGGCTATCTGGAATACAAAGTACAGCAGCTGTAAAGAACAGCCTGCTTGGAAGGGAACAACATGACACTATGCTATAACAGCTTCTGGATACCACTATCCCTTTATAATTGAGTGTACCTGAAGTGGAAAGACAAAGCTTTATATTATTTTCCTATTTTATAAAAAATAATGCAATGTGTTTTGTGACTTGTCTCCTGATATTAAGCCAGTTGATTTACACAAAGTTATCTTTAAAAATACTCCAAGTTGGGGTGGATTTTTTTGCTATTATTTAGGTAATCAACAACAAATATAGGAACATAATGGTAAGGCCAAGACAGTTTAAAGTTACCAAATATCTGCTTACATCTTATGCAGCAGTGGAAAAAACACCATTTAAAATTTTTCCATTCCTGTCAATGCCTGAACTCACGAGTCTTTGCTGAGCATCCTGGAAATATTTGATGCATAGACTTCCAAGCACACTTAGGAGATCTCTCCATCTGGAGAGTGAGGATCTGATTTTTCTGATAGTCAGAATGCAGATGTCTGTCTGCCTAAGCTCCTGTTCTGCTTACTGTGTGAATCCAATTTAAACTGCTTAGATGTTCAGTTTAGAAATGGTGGTGTCGCATGTGGAACATTAGGTTGGCTAAAGCTGGCAGCTGTATTTACTACTGAGGAGCCTGGCATTTTCAGTCATTTTGCATATGAGTTGGACATGCCACTCTTTTGGGAACCTGTTAATTAGAGTGTCTTAGTGTAAAGGTTAAGATGAACCTATACCTGCCAGCATCCAATATACTGAACTATGGAATGCTCCTCACTTGCTGCTTGAGCAGACAGATGCAGAAGTAGCATAAAACTGAAATGAAAGGGACCTAGTGGAAGTTTGACAACCTACAGGTTAAAAACATCTAGGAAACTTCAAATATATGATCTCATTTATATTCCTCTAGGGTTCTTGTTTTTAATTCAGTGTCTAGCTAGTGTAAAATGTGAAAATATTCAGGAGCAGGAATCAGAAGATATGTTTTGCTTCCTCCTAGCAAAATACCCTATTCATAGAACAACAGAAACAGGTTATTCTACCTCTGTTTTCCTTAGGAATGGAAATATACCCTGAAACAGGCAGACCATACACTGCTAGCTTTTCAGGGGATACATTTATCACAGGGACAGGGAAAGTGTGAGTAAGGGAAGAAACCACAGGATGGTGTATGTGGGAAATTACACATCAGTGCCACTCATCAGAAATGGAGGCTTTGTCGTCCTCATAAATTGTCTTGCTATGTGATGGACTGTCACTGACCTTAGGAATTGCCTAGATATGAGAGGTCAAAATAAAATTTCATTTCTTTCTTCTGCTGAGAGCAGTGGCTGAATCTTTGACAAGGAATTCCTTATCTCTAGAATTTAGAAATCAGCAGAATGAATAATGCAGGCGTAAAGAAGGAAGATTTTATTGAGCTTCAGACACATTGGAATTGCAGAAGAAATTTTTTATCACAAAAACTTCAGGAGAGGAAAGATATTGTAATGTTTATTTCTCTTTATTAATCCATTGCAGATCAGGATATATTTTTGTGTTTTTTCATAACTGTTTGTTTTGATACTAGTTTATTCAAATATATTTGAATAACTGCCTTCCAGATGCCTTAGGAAAGCCTATGAAATCGATCTTAAATTTCATTATGTTTATGGAAATGTATTTTTTTTTCTCTTTTAACTTATTAATTAATTTTTAGATTTCTACAGGAATTTTTATTATGTTTATGGAAATGTATTTTTTTTGTCTCTGAATATCTATACTTTCAATTTATTAATTAATTTTAGATTTCTACAGGAATTTTAAAATATTTTCCCCAAATCAAAATATTATCTTCCTGTGTCACAGGTTGAATTCTAATAGTCTTATATTTACCTGAGTGTTATCCAAGTTTCTTTTGCTTTAACTTGTGAAGTATTATTAATATTGGTTACTGGTTATATATACATTCTGTGTTCAGTTGGATCCTTTCCCTAGACAGCTAATTTTTCTTAAGAGTCTGCCTTTCTCATCACTGCCTCATACCCAGTTTTAAATAAGAAATGTTTAAGTAATTATTAGTCACATCTTATCTCAGTGGCTAGGGCTTGTGCTTTTAAATTAATATATGAGCATCTGCCTCTAGAGCTCTCACCAGGAATTTAAGGGCTCTTTTGGAGAAAAACAATAAACACCACCATTCTGTATTGAGACATGCCTTGTAAAAGGCAGGAGATTTGCAAAAGCAAAAAGCCTTTTATATTTAATACCATCAGTATTAAATGATGACATTATATTAAGCACACAGTCTTTTTGCTTTAGAATCAGTTTATCTACTTGGTTGCTCACAAAACTGATTACAAACTGACTGCAGTTTGTGAAGTTCAGTTGGACTCAGTCACTCTAAATTCAGATCCTGAGAGCTTCTTGCTGAGAAAGTCGTGTTGAATAAATTTTGTTTCAGACAATACAAAGTCAGATTTCCCCATTGCTTTGAAAATAAATACATACAAGCTAGGACAGAGCAAATGAATCTTGTTTCTTGCAGAAGCACAGTGCCTGGCTCATAATTAGTGATCCTGAGATGATGGCCATTGGCTGTCATTAGCAGTGACAGATGCTGTTAGCATGAGGACTGAAGACACCATAAGGATGCTGATCATTTTTCTCAGGCATTCCATGTCATCACAGGAAGGGAATATCTTGAAATTACTTTTATTGTTGCAGGTATCCTTGGCATCCCCAGATCCAAGAATAAATGATATTACCCCAATGCATGTATAAATTCACATTTCACAGGCAGTGATATCTCATTAATGAGAAAAGCTGAAACACAGCACTGGTTCACAAAGGCATTTGCTTCATTTAAGATTAAAACTGGCTCAGATGTGTTCTAGAAGTTGTCTGCTATTCAGAGAATGTCCTTCTCTGGTAATCTGCCTTGTTTTGGGATGTTTTCATTGCATCAGAGAGGTTATGCAGGGCATAGTTGTTTAGGTTCCTGTGTTTGCAGAGAATGAGGTTAACATCTACCTGCAGCTGAGGACAAAAGAGCAGAATTTCAACCTTTTGTTCAACATATTTATCAGTTCAGGTAAAGAGTCATGCTAAAATATCTATACATCTTCATTTCTGGAGGGAGTTTTAAGCATTCCAGTTCCATGCTCCTTTGTATGTTGTATTTCCAGTGAACTGTTCAGTTCACTATAGATGTTTTGTAAGCCTAGAACAGCAGAAAGCAAAAATCCAGAAATCTCCCTTCCACCTGCCACACACACAGAGTTGGTGCTAGATCTGGAAGAGGTACATGTATTCATTTTGAGTTTAACTATGCAAAATAATAATTAAATATTCTTCATCCCTCTTCTATTTTGCTTCTAAATAGTGTTGTTAGTGTATTTTGCCACACTTTTTAAAATTCACAGTATTAGAGTGAATATTGTATGAAAAAAAACCCCAACAGGTTTTCCTCGAGTTCCTTTTGATTTGTTTATTAGAGTGAATATTGTATGAAAAAAAAAAAAAAACCAACAGGTTTTCCTCAAGTTCCTTTTGATTTGTTGCTGGGTTATTGTTTGATTCAACTCTCACCAAAATTGTGAGTTGCACTCTATCAGGTTTGTTAAACTAAATATTTTGAGCTGATGAATCTTTTCCAAAAGGATGATTAAAGACATTATTTTATGCCCTTTTCGCTTACTAGTGGTTTGTTTTGTTCTTTCTTTTTTCTCCCACTACCAGGAGGCATTTTTGAGTGTGTGGAATCTGGTCCAATGGGAGCAGAAGAATTAGCCTTCAGATTTGCTGTGAACACAATCAACAGAAACAGAACTCTTCTGCCAAACACCACATTAACATATGACACCCAAAAGATAAATCTCTATGACAGTTTTGAAGCATCCAAAAAAGGTAACCTTTTGCATAATTAATTTTTTTAATGGGGAGCTAAGACTTACTTAGTTTACCTACCTGAAAAAAAATGTCTATCCACTGAAATCATATGCAAAGAGACTGTGGCATTATTGTGGCTGACACTGAAGAACTGCTTTGTTGAAGGCTGTAATGGTAACTGCTTAAAAACTATGTTGTCACCTGACCCTATCTAAAATCTATTTCCTTAAATATTTAAAATCTGAAATAAATTTTGCTGAACATTGTGACTAGGGTGTTTTTGAGACCAGCTCCTTTGGAGTGAGTAAATGCTATCTCCAGACTTTATCCAGCAAAATGCCAAGTTCCCTCAAATTGTAGTGAACCTGGAATCAATTTTAAGCATTCAATCACTTTAAGTGCATTTCCACAAACACCTTTATATCATTAATCATGTGTGGACTTCAAAAGGGAAGTAGTTGCAATTTTGTGCATCATACATCAACATGGCATAAAAAACATCCTAAATATTAAGTCTGTGCTTAAGAATATCTTTGTCAGGTGAATCTCTAGGCCTGGGTTCAGCTGTTTTCTCCTCACTATAAATGATTCAGTTAAAGAAAAATTGAAAGTTAAAATTAATTTTGAGCATTATTCCTAAATTTTCAAATCTTTGATTCTCAAAAAATCCAGGTTTTCAGATTACTTTGCATTCAAGTCAATGACAACAGTCACAATGTGTTCTACATCATTGTCATATCCTAGACAGTATAAACAGTATTGCATGTTCTTAAGAAACAGGTTTTTATAAATCAAAGAGCTAATTTCATATGAACATTTTCCTTAAAAAGAGATTAAGCAGGGTGAAGGAATTGGAGGTCAGCCTGTGTTTCTTGTGACAGGTTTCTAGCCTAAATCTGCCAAATGATCTTTTCCCAGCATGCCTCTCCCAAGTGTTGGAGCCTGAAAGCTTAATATAATAAGGGATTTTTGCTGTTATAGTCAGCTAAGATGAATAAAAATGTTTGATGCAACATTAGAAATGATACATAGGGAAAAGCTGCCGTGACATGATGAAATGTATCTTAAAAGTGGAACATAATGCTGATTAAAAAATTCAATTTAAAACTCCTGAGAAATTGTTTTCTCACTTGCTATAACGTACAGAGTTAATCTTGCTAACCTGTTTATCTGTTTGTTTGACAAAGTAACAATTCTAATATAGAGGTTTATTGTTAGGTATGAAAAGACACAGTATCCATTTGTACAGAAATACACACATTTTTGTCATTGAAAGATGCTTTGACTTATGAAAAATGTTACAGGCTAAATAACTATGCCTAGCAAGATGGTTTCTTTGCAGAGGAGAGTGTGTGGTAAAAGAGAGAGGCAAAAACTTTTAACATTGTATTTTTCAGTTTTTATTCTAGTGTTTTGGATGATGGATTAAACCAGTTTTGAGAGAAACTACTCCTTCCTTTCCATCTCAGCTGACAGTGAATAAATGGGCTGATCCTTAATTCTGCCTCCTTCATTCTCCTTTCCTTGTCACCTTCCAAACTCAACTGCTCCCTCAGTCCAGCACATGTTGACTTGTGGAATCTTATGGGGCAGTTTCTCCCTGTTCCTGAGGGAGGATGTAGAGAGCAGAGAAGTTTCTTCTGAGATCTTTTATTCTGTAACCCTTTCCTAAGACAATGCAACTACTTTTAGCCCTTACTTGGGGTTTGCTAGCCCTAATATGTTACTAATTCTTGTCCAACTGGAATAGTTGATGTTAGAATGGCAACATGGTATTGATTAGATCTATTGAATAGATTGTATAGATATTTTTCCCCACTTGCATCGTGGATGATAATGCAACTCTCTATTTGTAACTGGTTGGCTATATCAAAATCTGTGTAATCTTCCAGTGCTAATAGCTTTTTGCTTCATCAATTCACAATACAGCCAACTACATTTGAGCTCACAGGTGCTTTAGTTCAGAATCAAAGGCTAAAGGTTAACATAAAATGGTTCATTTTATTATGATGGCTCCAAAGCAGAGTTTTAACAATGAGGTTTAAGCATTTGACTCATTTTTGTGGTTCATGATTATGTCCATTAGTGAGCAGGCAGGTGCTGCATCAAAAATAGCCTGTTTAGACTTTTTAGTAACACATACTTTTGAAGTTGAATATAGATGATGAAACATTAACGGGTTTTTACAGGTACTATATGAAAGAGCAACCTGAAGGCAAGATGGTATTTCCAAGACTCTGTTTCATAGAAGAGTAATGTAAATACAACAAAATATTCCTTGATGTGCTAGAAAAATTGCTATGCATCTGATAGAGCCAGTGCCATATTAAATCACGTGTGAAAGCATTGCATTATTCAAATCTCCGAAACGGGGGAAAAAAAAGCCCATTGAAAAGCCATCTGGTAGCTATTGCTGTTGTTAGTGATCCCATTTACTGACATTTGCATAAAGCTTGTTGATTACTCTTAGGAAGGGCAATATTAGCATAAATGTTTTTTTATCAAGCTAGTCATTTAGGCGACACACCGAATAGCAATGGAGCTCCTGTGTGTATGAGAAGTTCATTTAAACCATGGATGTTCTGCAGGAATAAGAAGGTGTGCCAGCATAGTTTTGAAATGTTCTTGAAAGACTTAGCAATATTTTCCTCAAGTTGAAAAGAATATGCACAGCAAAACAATTAATTTTGAATTGCTGAGAAAAGTGATGCGGCAAGATGTGTTTCTACTTCTTGTTTCCTCAGCTGTCAGGAATATTGATGGTGGAGTAACAGTATTAATTAATCAAACCACATACAAATACTTGCATCAAGTTTGGATTAGGCAGATACTTTTCATTACTTCCCTCTACTGAACAAGTTGTTTTCTTAGAAGACAGAATCTGTTGTTTTTCAGAACTGCATGTTCATAAATGTTGAACAACATGGGCTAAAATACTGTCCCTCAGTCTTGACTACTTTTCCTGCCTTGTTTTTGGCTAACTAATATTCCCCAAGCAGATGGTGCAGTATGCTGTGGGAGATAACACAGACTAGAGATTTCTAATGAACAGAATAGGTAGGGCCAACCTGTATCAGAAAGCAGAGATTAGCCTCTTGAATGCAGCAGTATCATGTTGGTGACTCTCAGAGTCACTTTTATATACTAATGCAAGTGTAGCCAAACTGAGCATTTCCAGTGTTTAAGAAGGGACATTGACATTTTTCTTTCACTAGCAGATAGCAATTTCACTCTAGGGAAAATATGGGCCTTTAAATTTTACTAGTCAACATGGCTACTTTCAGAGACAGAAATTCAAATGTCCATTTCCATGAAATTTATCTTGTACCTGATAATTGACTAGAATCTACTTAACATGTACAATTTCTGAGTAATTGGGATCTCAGTAGAAATAGTGCTGATTGATTGAGGAAGAAGTTAACGCTTGAACAGCCTAGACTAGAATATTCTCCCATATGGCCCTTTTCCAAATGTAAGATGCAGCTAAGCATAAATCTCCTTTCTTGTCAGTGCTTTTGAAAAGATACACAATCGCAGCTAAGCATAAATCTCCTTTCTTGTCTGTGCTTTTTAAAAGATACACAATCACTGGCCTTTGTGACTTCCTCTGACATAGAAGTGTTTATTAAACATAACCGAGTGCTCTTTAGATGTTACAAACTGATGAATAGCAACACTTAATGAAAGCTTGGAAATGTATTCTGAAGTTGAAATCTGTAAGTGGAGGTGTTACACAAGAAGGGAGCTCTGTCAGCAATATGGTTGTATTTCATGGAGTGCCTTTTGTTTAATGTGAATTGTACGATACCTTCTGGCACACTGCCTTCTTTCCTCTCATCATTGACAGACTTCTGTCTCCTCTTCAGCCTGCGATCAGCTGTCCCTTGGGGTGGCTGCCATCTTTGGACCCTCCCACAGCTCCTCAGCCAATGCTGTGCAATCCATCTGCAACGCTTTGGGTGTCCCACATATCCAGACCCGCTGGAAACATCAGGTGTCAGACAACAAGGACTCCTTCTATGTCAGCCTCTATCCAGATTTCTCTTCACTCAGCCGTGCCATCCTCGACCTTGTGCAGTTCTTCAAGTGGAAAACCGTTACCGTTGTTTATGATGACAGTACTGGTAAGGCTAAAACATTAGACTATGTGCAAATGTATTGACATGTACAAAGTGAGGGGGGAGGGGTGTCATCACTTATGCTTCTTAATTTGAGAAATCTTAACTAATCGACAAGAATTTCTGTTGGTGAGGCAGTGTATAACAAACAATGTGGATTTATTAGCATAAGTATTCTCATAAGTATGCTTCAGTTGCTGAATTCTGTGTGTTGGAGCTCACAGCTGTCAATAAATCAGGCACACTGTGTTTTTTTTGCAGTGTTTTAACATTTCCTAACAGCTATGTCTTTTGATTTTATTTAAAACTTCAACTTGGAAGGAAAATATGGCAACTTGAAAGATATACTAGTATCCCCAGTGAAATAGAAGGCTGAAATTCTGGTGCTGCTTCTGGCATTGGTTAAGTTAGAAAACAGATGCCATATTTGTTTGGAATTTCAGTATCTGCTTTTTCTGAGAGAATTGAAGAAGCAGCCTTGGTTTTAGTTGGTAGCAATTGAAATCAAAGTTTGGAGGCTTGTTTTGCAGATGAATCACACAAGTTAAAAATGAACTCCTGACTTTCCAGAAGAAATATACCAGTTTCCTACCTTTCCCTTTCCCTTAGTCACCCTAAAATTTCTTTTGACCTTCAGTTTTGCCATGAAAGTGACAGATTTGAAAAATACTGTAAAACCTAAATTTCATTTGAGGTCTAGTGGTGGTCAAAACTAAGACCTTGGTGAAGAGGAAAATCTGACTGTAACGGAAGATACAAGGACTATACTTAGCCAAACATAATATATTTAATCTTCTTGAAAATGTTGCTAACTTCTTCTATGCTGGTTGATCTCTCACTGGCAGGAAAAGAGCATGGTGAGCCTCAAAGCCTTCTCATGGTTCAGTGAACTGGAAGACTGTTCTCATAACATTATGCTATCCAAATCTGAACTTAAAAACTAATAAGATCAAGAAGCAATGTGTTAGATGTGAGGCTACCTGTAGGGAAGACTTACTCTGCTAGATAGACAGCAGTTACTACAGTAGGATAGAATACTGGTCAAGCCCAATTAAGATGCCAGTGTAGCTATAAAAAGGAGAGAAGGGAGCAGAGAAGAAACTTTATCAGTCTTTATAACTGATTTTTTTCTTCATGCCTTTTAAAAAATGCAAGGCAGTGAACTTGACAGGCTTCCTCTCTAAAAGTTTGTTGGCTGATGTCACCAAAAGCCTCAGGTGATCAAACTTCTGATTACAAGTTTAGCTTTATGGAATTAAGGCAAGGAATAAGTTTCTTTCTTAAAAAGTTTAGCTTTATGGAATTAAGGCAAGCAATAAGCAGATTGTTTCTTTCTTAATTTTTTTTTTATTGAAATAGGAAAGGAAGTGAAAAGCAGCCTCAAATTTTAATTTTATGACTGAAAAAAGTAATTTATGGTTCAGTGAAATAGTTATAGACTTCAGATTGTATAAACTGGAAATATTTCACCTTGATTTAAATAATTTGCAGGTTAACTGGTTTTTTAATAAACAGATTACCTTCTGTTCTTTCTGCTAGAAAATTCATATGTTTTAACTGTGAAACTGCTTTGCTCAATATATTCAAATAATTCTCTTCCCTCTCT